GCTTATAGTGACCACAAAGCTTTGGATATACTTGCGCATTTCCACAATCTCTGAGCTTCTGCTGAAAAAAAAAGACTCAAATGGGGCGCGGCTGCAGTGTGGTACAACAAATATTAATAGCTTTGTCACAAAAGGCGTCTTGAACAATGGAAGAATACACGTCAGTATTTTCATTTTCGTCATACGTGACGAAGAAATTCCAAGTCGAATTGATAATGCACTCATCTTTCTGTCGATGGCTGCATCACTGGGGGGAAAAGCATCTCATACCGTCTCACTGGTTTATGTTTCGGACCCGAACCAATTCTTCGGAAATGAATTCTTCAGATGCAATATGGCGTGTCGTTTGTTGTTTCAACCCATGCTTTGATATCAAGTGAATCAACTATGCCCTCTTTTCACGTACTTTGAAGTACTTTGACGTACTTTGACGTACTTTGTCCTTGTCCAAGATTCTTGCTGTTTTCTCGTCTCCATCGTAATAGATGAGGATGACAGCTACCTTATGGGTAGTGATATATTGGAGGTTTTGCTTGTTATGAATCTCTCGCTGTCATGAATTATAGGAATCGGATAATGCGTCAAGGTAGCAAGAGTGGTAGGGAGACGTTTCGAGGAAGTATGAATTGCTGGCCCTAAAAAGCCACGCCACACTTATTCTCCTTAATCCTCCTCATTCCGATATCTAAGCTGTTCCTTTTCTGAGGTTGATATTCCCAAACTAAAGATATCACGGAACAGATGAGGAATTTTAGCTTTAAGATCTCTTTTCCTTCCCATCTTTCACATAATACAAACCGCCTTGCATGCATCTTTGCTTATATCTGCTAACTCTTCCGCTGCAGGGAACAGTTTCCCAGATGATCATACAATCATGTCAACGGGGTTTTAAGATATTCCAAAAAAACGCGATCTTTAACCTTTTCTACTCTATTTTGGTGCTATAGCTGCACCGGCTTTCTTGGACTTCCATGGGTTGTATTTCAAATGTCACGGTAGCTTAGCAGCTATATATCATCGGTTTATCTGAATATCAATTGTTCATAAAATCATTCATTCTAAATTAGACAATCTGATGATTGGATCAAGCCCCTTTTCATATTTTCACCATCAAAACAATGAAATCATGTGAAAGATAGACCCGTGAATACAGCTGATGCTCTTGCTACAACTGTTTTTTTTTAGTAAGAGTGGAAATAATAAAAAGCAACAACCATATACGATTATTAAGAATATTACAAGATTATTTTTCCATCAGACTCATGTCCATACCCAGACTCCAACATATAACATTCACAGAAAAGAATTGACAAAAAATCATGAATCACAACCAAGATCTATCATATCTCTCGTGCAAGCAATACAACCTTTTTCTCCTGCATACATTGACTCCATAACCTAAGCTCATTTTCCTTTTTTTCACAATCCACCGCCGTACACATCTACTCGTAACTTTCACCCCTTCGCTTCAATTTCCTCAAGATTGCTATTTCAAAAAGAATAAAAATCACGCTGACATTATTATTTTCTACCCCATCCATCCTGTCAGATTCTTCCCTTCATATCCTCTAACCCATATCATTCTTTATACTTAAATATCATCACAATAAGCCTTTGCCTCCCATCACCATTCTCCTCAAACCTGCATTTCCCGCTCCTTTTTTTCAATTCGATACCTCCTATATCCATTCCTCTTTACTTCCCACTCCAAAAGTTCCTCTTCTCCAGCCTATCCATCATTTACCACCCTATCTCCCTTTCTTACCCTCCCCCACCGCTTATCCCCACTCTTTCCCTCCCCTTTCTCCATTCCTCTCCTCCTATTTCCCTCTTCTATATTCTTCTTCTATCATCTATATCCACCTCCCTCTTCCTCTCCTTCTCCTTCATCGCGGCCTCACACGCCGGAAATATCTCCTGAAACGTCGTATACTCCTTCGTATAAAATTTACACTCTCTCGAAAACGCCGGGAGATTATCCTTACAGTTATCGTTCTGTTTCATGGTGACCGCGTCGGGCTCGGGTTTCTGGTGTCCGCATTTGTATTTCCAGGCCCATTCTGTGCACATTTTTTCGGTTAGGGGTTGGAGTTTTGGTTTGTGGGTTGTGGTTTGTGGGTGGAGCTGAGCTGGTGTTTGTAGTGGTGGGTTTATGATATTAGGCTAGTGATGTGTAGATTTATGGTGATAGATTTTTGATGATAGATTTTCGATGCAAGTTTCCTGGTGATGAGTTCGCAGTAGTAAATTGGCAGTAGTAAATCCGTGTTGGTAAATTCGAAGGTAACAATAGCCTCGTAGTGACAAGTTCGTAAAGATAGTCCCGTTCTCCCACACCCAAACAATACAGTAATCCAGCCCTTTATTCCCAATATCTTTGACTCAGAAATCGTGAACTATGAATATATATCCCTTCCACGCGTAATGAAGCAAGCTGAATGTGCTTTTCGAAATTCAACTGCAGTCAAATAACACTATTTCTTCTTTGTGAATGTCAAATAATCTCAATATATTCATGAGAATAAATATACACAACCCAAAATTTCTTTCCAGAAATACCTACCAATAACAAAAAACTAATCATTTTTGTATCTCAAGAGAACAAAGAACCCCCCATCTCGATTCTCGATCCGAGATTCCTTTTCTTTCTTATGCATACCCATCCCATCCCATCTATATTCACCAATTCAAGAGCGAAGAGGGGAGAAAAGAAAACGAACAAAGAAATAGTTACTATAATATTAATTCTCTAACCTATCTCGGTGAATATGATAAAGACAAGTTTTCGCGCACTCGAGGGGGAATAGTAACGGAAAATTCACTCATTATGTCCTTTCAAATCATACTTACTTGAAAATCCCACAAAGACAGAAAACGAATATTCATAATCACCTCATTAATCACCATTCTGCCCCAAGAAACTCATGATTCACAAAAAAGAAAGTACTCACACACTCAAAAAACAGCACCATCACCATCATTCGCACCCACTGGATTCCCCATGAAAGAAATAAAACAATCAAAAGTCCCAAATCCTCACTCTATGCCACTCTGTGCAATAATCAAGATCTACAAACTCCTCTATAAACAATACTATAGAATATGAATCTATTTCATTCTTCTCTGCGTTACTCCTCTTCTCGGTGCTACGCACATATACATCATTACCCTTCACAACACCAACATTGGTCTCGAACTCGTTTAGAACATGTAATAATATCTCTTTATTCCTCTAATAGAACCACCAGTATATAGCGAATAAGAAACTGAAAAGATTGTGATAGCTGGTGTAAATAGTGTAGTAGTTCGCTATGCGTACCTAGCTTGCATTGATGCCGCCAGGTCATGACTATGAATGTTCAGTTCAGTCTTTGAGCTAAGCTCTCTTTGGGTAACCCTAAATTGTGTGAATGCCAGATGAATCGATGTTGAAATTTACTGCAACTTGCGTATATTCAGTCATGTTTCATAATCACACCAGCACGTAGCTATAGCACAACCAATCTCGTCAGAATTTTCGTCACAGGAAAATCATTTGTGCATTTGATAGCTAACAAGTAATGCTAGATCTCATGTTAAAAAAACTAAACTGAAAATTACATGCAGCAATTACTTGCATTAAAACCTCGTTAAATCTTGCGCAAAATTATTGATATCCTTCTCGGAGAGGCTCCTGTGTCGCTCGCAGAAAATCTGCCATGAAAGGCCAAGATTTCTTGAGGAATTCCATATCATGGGGGGTGTCTTGATCCGTTCCCTTTCGTCCCACTATAATTGTACCTTGATTACTCACCGTCGCATCGATACATTGAAAAGCTTCACTCATAGTGAGCCCATCATTTGGTTCAAGATCTCCTGTTGACCAACTGCTTGTATCTGTTCTGCTAGGCTCGGGAAATCTTTTAATCGATCTTTCCAAGCTGAATATCGATGAAAAAAAATTCCATATGAATATCCAGAGCAAGCTGGTTTGTATAGCTGCAACTTGAATTACCGCATCTACTAATATCCTCGTACATCGAAAGTCGGATAGAGTTCTGTCACGATCGTGCGAGCTACGAAAATGGTCTCCAAGCCCAACGCTGCGATGTGTACATTTTCTATATGCTCAACAATCCCCTTGTAATCACGGAATGCATTGGATCTGCAGGCAGCCAGAGGACAGACAAGTTTGCGAAAACCATCGTGTTCCATCATACAATGGTTTTGCCATGCTTGGTCTCCAGCTAGGCTCTGTACCAAGTCATCTCGCAGCCTTCAATGGGACATGCCCAGCGTGATAACAAAGCTCGAGTGTGTTGGCCGAAATCACCCTCATTTTCAATTCTTGTCTCTGATTTGGCCGGGGCTTTTCGTGCATCATTCGACAGTGTCAAGTATTTCGAAGATAACTTTGCTTCGTCACATGGACTTTCCAACCCCAGACCACACGCGCACGAGCTGATGCAAGGGAAAAATCAGATACCTTCGTTTTTGTGTAATATACCACAAGGGAACTCGATGTATATTGAGATTTCGACGTTCTTCTATAGCAATCAAGAACTTGTATGCTGGGTAATTTTCTCTCAAATCCACCCATGCGCGAGGTGAGTTGGAGATACCATGGTTACCCATTGACACCAGGAGTATAGTATCACCAATTGCCGCAGATCTAATGGTAGAGACGAATACCAATGCGCTCTTAGAAGAGTAACCGTGCATCTTGCTAGTGTTGCTAGGGATGGAATTGGTGAATCGATTTCATGATCTTTGAGATGTACGGAGTGGATGTTGGTATCATCGACTTTGATGTTGAGCAAAGCCATAATATCGTCTGATACTGACGAAGCTGTATTGCTCCTGTCGTATATTCTGTCTGAAATATCTGGTGAATCTTTGGAACAAACAAACAATGCGCTTGACCGGATTGACACTCATCCAAAGTTTCAATTCCGAAGAAAGGGTATTTTGATTATGAGATTCCGTAAGTTGCAGTATTGCTATAATGGCTTTGAGCTGAGCTAAACTTGGTGACTATTCGTGACCTGAAGCCTCTTGAATGGTTTTTTCCTAATAGGAGAATCCAATGTTAGGTCTATAATAGGCTCTCTCTTTTGGCACTTGCCAGTGGATACTGGTTTCAATGATTCAGGATCGCTTGTGTATTGCTGCTGACTTCGATGATTTGACGAAGAATTAGATTCAAGGGGGCCCGTAAGGTCGATAAAAGACTTGGTCCTGTGATTGATCGACTCGCTATCGGTAAACGGACGTATTTGAGAAGTTGAGTGTTTGAATTTGGATTCATTATAAACAGGATGACGACTAGGTGTCATGCTGTCTTCCTCTTGCTTTACATTGACAAACCTACATGTATTAGGCAAATCACGAGTAAGAGGTGTGGTACATGCCAAATCAGGTGGCTTGGTACGTCGAGCTTTATTTTCATCTTGCTTGGTAAGACCACCACTGTGGGTCATAGTCATCACCTTAGTGGTAGCACGATCACATTGCAAGACACGGGCACGTCTAATATCGATCCCTTTATTGCTCTGAGTGGTAGCAGTATCTTTTGAGTTGCATTCCAATTGTTGGACTCAAGAACAGAGGGACGTTGGGCTCGGTGGCTGGACCACTATGTACTGCGGTGCCTTTATCTATGCTTATATTCGCCCGTGTTTCAAACCAGGTAGAAGTTTGGAAATTGGAATTGTGTAAAAGATTTAGAAACAGCTTTCCCATTCTTATGACTTGTTCTTGGTACTGCCGCAAACTCAGAAAACCTTTGAGTCTTGTATCCGCGATAACCCCTAGTATCATATATGAAAGGTGTATGAGGATCCTTTGGAAAATGAAACTCCGTAAATTGATCGTATTTATCATTCAAACGTTCTGCTTGGTGGTTCTTGGTATCTGGGGAAGGGCCGGTATAGATAACGAGAGGAATCTCCTGGGGATGCGTATGTATTCTTTCGAAGCTAATTTCGTTCTGTGCTTGCCCCTCATGATATTTGTGGGAAGGTTTATTGTCTCTAATGTTCAGATTTTCGGGTAGATAGATGTTGTTGAAGACGTAATATCTTGACAGTCCGATGTTTGTGATAGGTTGTTCTTGACTATTCCTCTTTTCGCCGTTTGAGATGGGAGTGTCGTCTCTAATGGTAATCGAGTGATCAGATCCCGAACTAGCACTGCGCAAGTTTGGTACATGAACCTCTTTCGGTTTTCAGATGAAAGATTGGGTATGAATTTGAGAAAAGGATATGTAGACTGAAGCAACGCAGATATTACTTTATTGACTTCAGCATGATCCCCCCTTTCCCTCAAACGCTTGGCACGGAATACATGAGCCACCAATAAGAGAACAAGAGATTGACAAGACGAAATCGCGACTGTAATAATTCGAATATGACTTGCCTTGCAAAGTGATTTGAATTGAAGATCGGAAGGTCCGCGTTGAGAGCCATCTCTCCTAAATTAACTGATGGTAAAATTGTAGATCTGCCAATGTCAGCGTATTTACTTCCAATCTCAAAAATCGATATAGACTTACTGCATTTTGATTGACTTGAGCGACTCTGATGTTATGGTAGAGCTGAAAAAACTTATGTTTTGAGGTTTCTCTATGATCTTGAGAGTGTAGATAGGATGGCTTAAGTGATGACAGACTCTAAAGTTGTGCCAGTGGTGATTCGAAATATTGCCTCTTGTTATATCTTATGCGCGAAGAACAATACGAAAAGAACCTCTTGGGTGTGCATTCTATACTTCCAAATATAAAGAAGAAGATTGCGATGAGCCATGCAATGCGTTGTGTCAAAAACGAAACAACCGCGAGTGGTTCCTTCCTCGATGCGGTGCTTAGATTGTGGAAAAGAAAGATGAGAATGTCCTGTTAATCTGGGAATCAGATTAAAACTTGATTTCCTATCTTCATCTCGGCCAATCTCATGAATCAAAAGGCATAACAAGGCGTGCATGAGTTAAGTCGAAAAGGATACATAGCAGGGAAATACCCATTGAAGTTATTCTGAGAATTGGTTCGGCCAATCAATTAAGTTGTATAAACTTAGAAGCACTGGATTGCAATGAAGGTCTCGTATCATAATCAACTGCTTAATAGATTGTTGAAAAGATTTTGAAAGGTATCTGTCGACATCTTATGACGGAGAGCTTCTTGTAGTACATTGTCTTAGAATGTAGATGGGCAAGTATCAATAGTTACAATTTTTGTTCGGGCGGTCAATCAATTCACCGACATCACCCACTCACAGAACCAAAGAGGATGTTGTACATAGATTTATTGTATTGGGATTTCCGATGAATAGTTTGGAAAGTGATGAGATCTTAATGCTAAATGTGCTTTTCGTTGTCCGCTTTCATCAATCGTTACTTCCATCCACATCTCGTTCGTTGATGAGACCGTTGCTACTTTATCACTTCACAGATCCCAACTTCTCAACCATGATAAGAGGTCAGCTCACTGTCGTCTGATAATGGAAAGTTACTCAGTTTATTGTTACGTGGTTCAATTTATTTCATATGGCAAGCAGGTGGTATCACCAGAGAGAGAGATATTCACGTCACTGTATTGTTGAGCATCTTTGGTTTCAATTTGGTTTCAATTTGGTATGAAAGGATATCTAACTACAGGCAATACAACTTATACATCGATGGAATACAAAAAATAACAAGATTAAATTGCAATTTTTGAAACAGATTCAACATACTGGTTAACAAAGCAGAAAAAACAGAATCAAATCAATAACGCGAATAATACCAATATCCATAATGTGAATAACATCAAAATCAATAATACAAATAATATAAAATCAAGAATACAAACAACATCAAAATTAACAACGCCAACGCCATCACGACAACTACCAGCAGTCTATATATCAATGGCCGGTAGTGTGAGAGATGGAGCTGTCTGCCAACCAACAACAATGCGAATAACACCAAAACCGCCAACTCCAAACTCCAACAACGCCATCGCAACAGCTACCAGCAGTCTATATATCAATGGCTGGTAGCATAAGAGACGGCGCTGTCTGCCATCCAACATGCAACGCTCAACAACACCATCACAACACTTAACTACCAGCAGTCTATCTATCAATGGCCGGTAGTGTGAGGGATGGCGCTGTCTGCCACCCAATCGCGATCCCGACGATTGAATCTTTCAATATCTGAATAAGACTCAAATATCGAAAGATTCTCAATCTAGGAATATGATTGGGATACTCTGCCTCTCTGCCTCTGCCCTATCCTCCTCCTCCCACCACTCACTCGTGACTTTGCTGGTAAGGAATGAATCCCACCACGCCCGGCTGCCCTCGACAGGCTCATCATTGCCAACTTGATCATGGCTGTTTGGTGCACCACCTGCGGGAGCTACAAGAGCGGGTACACCAAGAGCAGCGGCAACGGGAGCAGGGACAAGAGGGGCAGCGGCAGGATAGACAACTGCGAGAGGAGCAGCGACGAGAGGGGCAGCGACAAAAGGAACAGCCGCAGGAGAGGTAGCCGCAGGAGAGGCAGCGGCGAGAGGAACAGAGAGAAAAGGAGCAGCGGCGACGGCCTGGCGTGCACGAGCCCGTTGAAGAGCCCGTTGATTGGTTGCCCTACGAGAAGCAGCCCGGCGAGCAGCAGCCTGGCGTTCAGTGGCCTCCCGCTCCGCATGCCCTCTATCTGGCACAGTAAACACGGTCAGGCAATTAGCCAAAGGAGACTCGTGAAGATGTGGGAGATTCTCTTGCATGAGAAAATCCCGGCTTTGGTGGTTCCACACCATTGGAGGAGCCCCGGTGACCACCGTGTCCCTGTAATATCTTCCTGTGCCCGTCGGCACGAGGAGATATGTATCGGGCGGGAAGTCAAGAAGCTCTCCCATCCTCGTCTGCCTGATCAAAGTCATCAGGCCAGGAGTGACCTTTCGGATCGGCCACTTATCGCCGTCGCCGGCGACATCTGGCCCGCGGCGCTCAATGTGAACCATTATGTAGATTATAATGGTTGTCGGTAAAGGAAAGGGTGGTTGTCGGTAGAGTGTAAAGGGTGGTTGTCGATAAAGGGAATAAGCGAAGGTATTTGTAGAAGGGATAATTTATTATTCAAAAGTTGATCTAATAAATTATATAAAGAAGTGAGTGAGGAAGCTGATATTGGAAGTTATATCGAGAGATGATGTTTGTAGATGAGGATAAGAGGAGAGCACTCAGAGCCGTTTATATAGACAGAATTGTCATGTCTATTTCGACTGAAAACTTAGTACTATCTTCTTAGGGCAAAAGAAGACCATGAAAATTTCTCTTCGCCAATGTCGATAGTCTGTCTACGTAGGAGCGACATTTAGGGGAAAACTTAATCTGTGTTGAAATTTGGGAAATTGCAAGCGAGGGGTACCCAAGTCTCCCTACGCGAAGGGTAGTGCGGATCTTTCATGAGGAAATAGCGTGGGGATTGATCGATTGTCCAATCGTGTGAGGCAGAGAAAACCCCTCAGATTGCGCAATTCCACTTAAGATAGATCAGAATAAGCTTTATACAATATGTCATGCATATAGACGTTTCAGAATCTAACTCCAATTGAATATTAGAATCATCTGGAATGTGGAGCTTCACTTGGGACAATTAACTAATTCCAATACCTCAGTTCTTTTGGTACATTGTATTATTTTGGATTGTTGAACTCAGGTCAAAGATTGAATTTATGTGAATCGTTGAACTCATGTTAGATGCTGAGCTGCTGTAAAGAATGATACCCATATTGTACCATGAACCAGTTTGAGATATTGACCCAAATTCGAATTTTGTAATACCTCTAATCATTGAAATCTTGAAATCTTCCATCCAATCCGTTACTGCGCACCCTATTTAGACAGCCAAGGCGACAAGAGCATTTTTCCACCATCTCTGACAATCTATAAGACGCAATAAGCTAAGGCGGTCCTCCAATCATGGTTGACCGACTAAGATGCAAGTTATTGATTCATCACCTGATACAGACTATGCAGATCCAAACTATGAGAGAAGATCATCAGAAATCACATTTTGACTAACTGATGACTCTGGGAATAATACGATAACCAAGAATTTCTCCAATAGATCTTGAACTCCAACCTTCGGAAAGTTTAATTATCTGAATTTGTGCGTTTGCTAATCGCTGCGAAGCTTGTGTTTAGGCGCTGAAGGTGTCATTTCAAATTATTTCCGCATAGAGTGGAGATCTCGTATCATTATGCTGTGAAAACTGTGATGGTCTTGAAGAAAATTCTTTTCAAGTGTATATAGTATGAAACTCTACATGACGAATTTCGTTCCAGTCAACGAAGAGGACAGAATGCAAAGTATAATTCATGCATTTGTCATGAAGAATGGTATTGGTGATGACATTGATGTATTGCTGAATGACGACAGCCACGGCACGACGAGATTTGCGGCATTTCTTTGAGCAATAGTACACTTGGCGTAGATATGGGAAAGTATTCTTCATGATAGATATACACTGTCAATACTATTGGTTGACATTAAAGGTGATTTATTGGTATTGTGGGAAGGTACGAGAGTGTGAGAAACTAAGGTTTGAGGTATTAAGGTATGAAGAATTAGGGCATGGAGAATGAGGGCATAGTGAGATGAGAGAAGACGTGATGTTGAACAAACTTTAATATCTATGGTAATTATGATACAGTATGCAATTAGACGTTCATATAGAGGCCAAGACAAAGTTGTGCCCTCTGAAATGTACTCGATCTTCTTGGATGTCTCGAAATTAGAATGAATGCTTCATGTTCTTTCTGCCACGCACCCTCCTTCCCATCTCGAGTCAGGGGGCATTATCACTTTTTGTGTCATTTAATGTCAATAGATGATCTCAAGAGACAAGATGTAAAGTTAAAAAGTCATATTTTGCATGTGAATTATTTACAGAAAATGTGTACGACGGAAGCATGAGGAGTAGATCTGCAGCCAGTTGGGTACAGAAAGCCACTTCCATCCAACAAACAACCTCTTGTATTCTTATAAACCTCAATTTATTTCTCAGTAAAAGCGGAAGATTATCTGCTTCATACCTTGTTTGAATTAATTGAGATGTTGGGTGGGGGTTTCGAAAAAAAATATGCTTGAGTTTGGATACGCTAGTACACGTGGAAGGAACGACCACTTGAGCCTCAACACGACAATCCACCCACACGTTTCAGTAATATCCATCATCCTACAACAAAACTTTCCAAGGAGCATCGATGGCTAACGTCGCAGTTGATGAAAAAGACTCGAATGGCTATTGACTCGAGCCCCTGAATTTAGCGAACACTAACATTTTGATGATCTGGAACGATCAGATAATCACAACACCACCCTCTTCTCCGAGATTTCCGGTCAAATAACGATTCTTTACGAATTACGAGCGGTTAAAGATATAACAAAAGAGTTGGGCGGGGTAAAAAGCTGGAAAGCGACACACACGAAGGACTGAATGGCGTTTTCACTCGAATATTCCTCAATTTTTGTGTTTAATTACAGGCGATAGAACATCATCGATCGGATACAAGAAATGGAATTAAAGTAGATGGATTCATTCTCAATAGTTCGTACAATTACCTATCTAATATCGCAATATTTGCACAATTGAGGCAGCAGACGGCACATGACCAACATGGTGAGAGGGCAATTAATTGAAACAGGATTTTTCTTTTCAACAATAAACGATATTGACCTTAGATCCTTTTCCTATCACTTCAATTGTTGTGATTCGGTCACTAAGATTGCGAAAGTATATCGAAGACGTTATCAAAGGCTACAAAGGTCCAGAACGAGTCATACTCATGCGAAACGGGCTTCCGACGGATCGATAAGAAGACAATAACAGACAATAACAAAAGTAGCTGGAGATACGAATCTAATTATTTACCATTATCAAATCTGAATATACAGTATAGCATCAAGAAAGATTTCTGCTCGATATTACTACACTACTCTAGCACGAAGATTGAACCATGCGGTGCTCCAAAATCATTCGCATAAGCGTGATCAACACCACCCGCAGCTAAAAGAGGTACAGCAATACCGAATTCAGAATTCTAGCATGCAAGAGATATACTGATCAAGAAATGATGCGATAGTCGTGCAAGAAACTACGAAAGCCTTTAAACGAAAAAGGGAGTTCCGTACATCTCAACAGACTACCCCCTTCCAATCGAACCGAATTTTACTCCGGTCGAAACTCATACCGATAGATATCAACGAGGCACTCGTTTAAAAAGCATTCAATGACAAGTGGAAAGCTCCGGTTCTCGAGTTCCTCTATTCGGTGATACTGCAGAGGTTTCAGATTTGATTCGGTATTCGACACCTGATATCATTGCACTGTTCTTTAGTGGTATATCGTGTATGGCCCGGACTAAAGATGGCATATGTTGGTGTTCCTTTTTATTGAATTTATATGCTGCGTGCTGCTCAACTTTCAGCTTCCACCTTGGTCCTGGAAAAAAGTTACAGGAGACCGACAAGCTATGCTCCTCGCTCAACCAATTTTCTTCTGGAACAAAGCTGATAAGGGAAGCTTATACTAGGTCATGTGAGCACAATGGGTCCTTCGATACACGCGGATGAGGTGGTGTAGATGGGCTGGGATCGAAGAACGTCTCTGGAGATTGGAATTTGAAAATACTCGGGTGATCTGAGTCGTCTTTCAGGTGTGTACGTAGAATTTGATTCCTATTCTTACTTGTACAAAAATGCGATAACCCAGGCGCTGAATGAAGGCGAAGGACTCCAGAGCTTGGAAAGGACGTCTAGACGATGAGGTATTGATCAGGTGATTGCACGAAAACTTATGGCTGACATCTACATGGCAATACAGGGGCAAACTACTAGGCAGCGAACTATTAGTACATGCTCGAGCATCTGGTACTTCGAATAACTGGCTATATAAGGGCGGCAATAGGGTCAAATCCGATACCGTGCGAAACTCGCCATGAAATCAACGAAGCTTGCGAAGCAGCACCATCTTTGGCGTTGGAACTCTCTGCTGTACGGAATATATCAAATTTTACAACCGAGGAGCTCGTTCAAATAACGGGCGAAAGAACTTCGTCCGTTTGTTGCAGCCGAATTTACGCGAAAATAAACGAATGCCGACTTTCGGAGCCTCGTTTTCGATTGAAAAGAGCAGAAGGCGCTTCGGAATTTGCACTGGCATTTTCCAGAGATAATTGAGCATTATTTAAATGACTCAAGCCCAGTCTTCTGTACTTGTGTACTCGAATTCAATTCTTCATTATTAAGCCCTAGGAAAGGAAGAACTCGTTCAAGAAAAGGAATCAAGAATGAGAGCTTGATAACTGCTTGTATTGAACTGATGCAAGATTTTGCTTCCTTTGTCTCCGCCCAATTACGTCTACGCTTGTGTTCGACTTGTCTCATCAGGTTTTTGACACTAAATTATGTACGGATGATTGACCGGAAAATCGTTTGCTGAGTATTCCATCCATTCCATTTGACTTCATTTTATATTTTGGAGAATTCTCGACTAACTTGATGCTGCAGGTATGATTTTTTTTCCATCTCTACTACCGTGATCCGCATCACCATGAATACACAATATATACTCCTTCCTTCGATCCTTGACGAATGCGCGGTTCTCCAATGGAATCAGAGCACATATCCCTACGGCACACTTGTAGCACGTATCGAAGCTTGTTTTTTCTGCTCCATGGTTCTTTTTTTTCTTTTCCCGCAAGAATTGGGACGTACTGAGAAGCTAGGTTTGAACTCGGAGAATTGCAGGAGAAACTTTTTCAAAACACACATGAACTTGGTACATCAGATCAAAGCTGCATTTTGAAGATGAAAAGTCCGGTTCGCTTCCGTTTACGATGGATGGCATCGACTCCTACAAAACGAAACGAATAGAGAGTATGCATGCGATTAGACCGGAATCCAAAGATCGAACAAAAGCTCCTACTCAGCCGGCACCTCTACCGCATCATGTTG